AACCGTGGTGATCTGATAGGATACAGGGGGTTATTCCAATGTTTGTTTTTAATCTGTGGAGGTTTGCTATGTCGCCAACTATGTGGTCGATTTTAGAGAAGGTTGCCATGTGGTGCAGAGAAGAAGGTATATTCTTTTGTGTTTGGATGGAATGTTCTGTAGATGTCTGTTATCCCAATTGGGTCATAACTTCTGTTAGTTCCTTTGTTTCTTTCGTTAAGTTTCTGTCTGGTGGTCCTATCTAGTGATGAGAGTGGAGTGTTGAAGTCTCCCACTATAAGTGTATTAGGTTTTATGTGTGATTTGAGCTTTAGTGATGTTTTTTTTACAAATGTGGATGCCTTCATATTTGTTGCATAGATGTTCAGAATTGAGACATCATCTTGATGGCCTTTTCCTGTTATGAATATGAAATGACCTTCATCTCTTTTGATTGGTTTTATTTTGAAATCTAATTTGTTAGATATTAGGATTGCTATACCAGCTTGTTTATTGGGTCCATTTGATTGGAAAGTCTTTTCCCAGCCCTTTACTCTGAGGTAATGTCTGTGTTTGAAGTTGAGGTGTGTTTCTTATAAGCAGCAGAAGGATGGATTCTGTCTTTCTGTCCATTCTGTTAGCCTGTGTCTTTTTATAGGCAAATTAAGACCATTCACATTGAGGGATATTAATGACCATTGATTGTTAATTCTTGTTTGTTTTGGATTTGTTGTTGTTGGTATTGTGTGTGGGTCTACTCCCTTTTTTTCTTTTGGTGTTTGGTAATGTGGGATTATCTATTGCCTATGTTTTTGTGAGTGTAGTTGTCTTCCTTGGGTTGGAGTTTTCCTTCCAGTAATTTCTGTAGGGCTGGATTTGTGGATATGTATTATTGTTTAAATCTGGTTTTGTCAATGGAATATCTTGTTTTCACCATCTATAACAATTGAAAGCTTTGCTGAGTATAGTAGTCTGGGCTGGCATCCATGTTCCTTTAGCGTTTTCAGAACATCTATCCAGGACCTTCTGGCTTTCAGAGTTTCCATTGAGAATTTGGGTGTAATTCTGATAGGTCTGCCTTTATATGTTACTTGGCCTTTTTCCTTTGCTGTTCTTAATAATTTTTTCTGTATTCTGTAAGTTTGTTGTTTTGATTATTATGTGGCGAGGGGACTTTTTTTTGTGGTCCAGTCTATTTGGTGTTCTGTAAGCTTCTTGTACTTTCATAGGCATATCCTTCTTTTGGTTGGGGAAGTTTTTTTGTATGATTTTGTTGAATATGTTTTCTGTACCCTTGAGCTGTATTTCTTCACCTTCTTCTATACCTATTGTTCTTAGGTTTGGACTTTTCATGGTGTCCCATATTTCCTGGATATTTTGTGTTTGGTATTTGTTGGACTTGAGATTTTCTTTGGCTGATGATTGTATTTCCTCCAGTGAGTCTTCAACAGCTGAGATTTTCTCTTCCATCTCTTGTGTTCTTTTGTTATACTTACATCTGTAGTTCCTGATCCGTTTACCCAGTTCTTCTGTTTGATAGATCTGTGTCTTAGGGTAGTTATATTTTTAATTTTCTTTCAGGACCTTCCACGGTAATTTACATGGCTGGATTAGCTCACATTCCCACCTGCAGCATATATAAGGGTTCCCTGTTATCTGTATGCTGGTCCTATCATTTGTTGTTTTCTGAATGACTCAGTCTGACTGATGAGAAGTGGAATCTCAGTGTAGTTTTAATTTGCCTTTCTTTCTTAGATAGTGAGGCTGAATACTTTTCATATATTTACTGGTCATTATATACTTCATCGCTTCAGAATTATTTATTTAATTCTAGCCCGTTGTCTTAGTTAGGGCTTCTATTGTTGTGAATAGACACTGTGGCCATGGCAACTCTTATAAAGAAAACATTTAGTTGAGGTGGCTTGCTTACAGTTTCAGAGGTTCAGTCCATTATTGTGATGGAGAGCATGACTGTAGGTAGACATGGTCCTGGAAGGATAGATAGGCAGAAAGTAGAAGGGAGGGATGTTCAGTTTAAGGAGTCTTGTTTGAAAACACATAGGATAAAGATCTTTTTCTGGAATGCTGGCTGAGGAGAAGATCATCTGGGTGCTTTCTCTGTTTTTCTGAGACAGCAGGCTTTTACCTCAGCATCTGGCTCCCGAGTCAGAATTGAGTGGAACAATTTAGATGTAGGTAGAAATAATACCATGGTACAGGCACTCTTGGATTAAAACTGTGTGCTAGGGATGAGCCACACCACATCTACAAACAGAATTTTTCTGTAAATAATGCAATCTCAGGGTTCACAGTATGACCAAATATCCTGCAACATGGTATGTTTATTACTATAGCTCTGAGTATAACTTATAATTAGGTATGATGATACCTCTAGTGAGCGGGTGTGAACTCACTCTCTCTCTCCTGTGAGTAATGTTGTTGGGGGTTGTATAGGGGACAGTGTAAGCCACGCCTGCTGGAAGCTGGCTACAGGTGTGCCTGACCACGCCCATTAAGGCATGGTCAAGGTGAGGTCAGAGTGATGCGAGATAGGGTTTAAAGGGACAGACAAGGCACATGGGAAGCCCCTCTCTCTGGCCTCCCTGCCTTGCTGCCCCTGGCATGCTCTGGCTTGCGTTTGGCTGGCGTTTATCTAATAAAAGATATCTTAACCTCACAGATTACCAATCTCTCTTAATAGGGTTGCATTGAATGAATCTGTAGATTGCTTTTAGTAGTACAAGTCATTTTTACAATCTTTATTCTTCCAGTTCATGAGTATGTATCTGGGGGATATCTTCCCAACTTCTGTCTTCTTGAATTTCTTCAGTTTTACAAAGTTTTTGTTGTAGAGATCTTCTTGCACATCCTTGGCTAAGGTTATTCCAAAGCATTTTAATTTTTTCTTGAGGCAATTGTGAATGGGGGTGTTTCCCTGATTTCTTTGTCTGCATGGTTACTATTTGTACCCAGGGAGGCTACTGATTATTAAATGTTAGTTTTTGTATCCTTCTTTGTTGAAAATGTTTGCCAGCTTTTTTTGTGGTGTCTTCAGGATCTTTTATGTGTAGAGTTCTATCACCTGCAAATAAGGATACTTTGGCTTTTTCCTTCCCTATTTGTAACCTTTTATTTCCTTATCTTGTCTTAGTGCTGTAGCTGACCTTAAGCAGCACTCTATTGTATCAGAGTAGAGATATTAGACACCCTTTCCTGCTCTTGATTTTAGGTAATGCTTTGAGTTTTCCCCATTTAGGATGTTGTTTCCCCATTTAGGTGTTGGCTCTAGCTTTGTTTTATAGAGCGTTATTATTCCTTCTATTCCTACTTTCCTCAGAGCCCTCCCTGCTTTCCATGAAGGAGTTTTAGATTTTACCCAAAGCTTTTCTTGAATTTATTGAAATGATCATGTGATTTCTGTCTTGAAGTCCATTAATATCATGCTTTTTTTTTTTATTGTGTATGTTGCAGCATCCCTACATTTCTGGAACAAAACCAGCTTGACATGGTAGATGATCCTTTTGATGTTTTCTTGATTTGCAAATATTTTGTTGAGAATTTTTATATTTTTGTGTTCTTTAGGGAAACTGACCAATAATTTTTTTTTTTTCTGATTTTGGTATCAAGATAATACTGGCTTCATAAAAAGTAGTGTTATCTGGCTTTCTATTTTATGGAGTAGTTTAAGAAGCATTGGTGTTGGTTCTCAAAAGTCAAGGAGAGTTCACTAGTAAATCCGTCTGGGCCTGTTTAATTTGAGAAATATATTTATTACTACTAATTCAATTTCATTGCTTATTATAATCCATCTAATTTTTACTCTTTGTGTGTGTGTGTGTGTGTGTTTGTGTGTGTGTGTGTTTGGGAGGGTGTTCATGCATGTCATGGCACATTTATGGAGTACAGTTGGTTATGTGGGTTCAGGGGATTGAACTAGAGTTGTCAGGTTTTCACAGCACTTTTACCCACAGAGCCAGCTGGCTGGCCTCTTGTTTTCTGTATTTATATTGAATTGAAGAGATGACCTTGACAAGCTTGTGATAGGATTATTTTTGGGTTTCTCTTAATTCTTTTAATATTTTTGGATATAATAGTAATACAAAGCCTAAAGAATTATTAACATAGAATCTATTTATTTATTTATTTGGTTCTTTTTGAGACAGGGTTTCTCTGTCTAGCCTTGGCTGTCTTGGAATTATCCCTGTAGATCAGGTTGGCCTTGAATTCTCTGAGATTCACCTGCCTCTGCCTCCCGAGTGTTGGGATTAAGCGTATGCCTCACCGCCACCTGGCTACCATAAAATCTTAAAAGGAGTTATTTATCTTAATTTTTTTAATGAAGTATTTATTTGAAAGTAAATCCCCTACCCTCATTTCTACAGAATAAAGAGATCTCTCCAATGGATTATATAATAATTCTCATGTTTGGATGCTGTTTGTTAACACAAGATAACTTATAAGAAAGGTTTGCGGACTTGATACTTATTAGAAAGCATCTTGAGGTTGGAGAGATGGCTCAAATGGTTAAAGCTTGTGTTGTCCTTGCTGTTCTTGAGTTTGGTTCCCAGCATCTATGTCAGTATGTGTACAACTGTAATCAGCTGCAGGTGACCTTTTTCTGGCCTCCATGGGGCATTACCACACATATGCACATAAAAACACACAGACATATACACATAAATAAAAATAAAATAAATATTAATAAAAAAGCATTCTATAATATTGTTTTTAATGTCTTGGGGGATTCATAGACCCTTTAGAAGTTGACAAAAATAATGGTCTCTCTAGAGAAATGTACTCATAAAGGCAGTTTTATAATTCTAGGGGAACCCTCAGAAGGCCCATGCAGTTTTGGTTGAGAACTCTATTGAAAGCTCAGGCAAGCTTCTGGTATTCCTTGACAGAATATAATGTTTTTTTATTTTCAATATGTAGAGAGACATTCCTAACCTTAGTTAGATTCTATGGATTCTGATTTACCTCTTGTAATGATTTTGTTTTGAATTTTGCTTCCTCTCTAGAATCTGGGCCATAAGAACTGTGCTTATTTTCTTCTTTTCCAAGAGAACAGAGAGAAATAGTAAGTTTACGTTCCAAATATTTTTTATAAATATATATTAAATAAGCAAACTCATCTTATTGTATATTTTATAGGCTAGTTATGAAATGGTTTATGAGATCATAGTGTGTATGAGATCATAGTGTGGTAAGTATCAGAATTGTTTGCTGTATAATATAACAAAGTTTATATATGTAAGAAATTTCTATTTTTAAGGTGTCATTTCTTATTTAGAATTGTTTTACACAACTTTTTTTTAAACAAAGGCAAATTGTATTTATTAAATTAACCTTTGTGGGGAACATTGGTGCAGAGTAAAATGTAGCATATATATTCTTGTTCTTTTTATTCATTTTATTGTTTTAATGTGTACGGGTATTTTACCTGCATGCTTGTCTGTATCATGTATGTGCCACCTGGTACCTGTGGAGTTCAGGAGAGGTCATTGGTCCCCTAGCTAAAGATGGTTATGAGTGTGTGCTAGGAATTGAATCTGGATCCTCTGTAAGAGTAGCCAGTACTTTTAATGGAGCCATTTCTCTAGCATTCTGACTTTTCTTTTAACTATATTATTCTCATCAACCTCACAGCCATTTAGCTGTGTTTCAAATGAAATATAAAAATCCAAAAATCAGCTTCTGTGTATGTTTTATATATATGCAAGTTTTAAAGATTTTTCAGGTCTTACAAAATATCTTAATCAGTTATACGTTTCTTTATTGAAAAGCTTTTTTTCATACAATATATTTTGATCACTGTTTTCCCTCCCTCAACTTCTCCTAGATCCTTCCCACTTCCACACTAAGCCAACACCACACCCCTTTTCTCTCTCTCTTTAGAAAACAAATAGGCAATTAAAGAACAGCCAGAGTAGGAAAAGCAAAAACAAAGAAAAATTACAAGAAACACACACATATATACACTCAGATACATGAAAAAACAAAACCCATAAAATCACAAAATCAAAAATCATAATATATAAGCAAAAAACACAGTAAGACCAAAAAATATGTCCAAACAAAGCAAATATGAGACAAAAAGCCTATAAAAATACCTTTAAGTTCATTTTGTGTTGGCAATATACTACAAGGCATGGGGCCAACCCTTAAGTGTGGTTAACATGCCCAATGAAACACCATTGGAAAAAACTAATTTTTCCTTTGCAAGAGGATGATGTCATTTGGAGATAACTTTTTGGTTAGGAATGGGAGATTGTATCCACTTCTACCTTGGAGCTCTGGAACCATGTCTGGCTTGAATCTGTGCAAGCCTTGTGCATGCTGCCGCAAGTCTCTCTGAGTTCACACATGCATCCATCCTGTTCTGTCTGGAAGACAGTTTCCTTGGTGTTGGCTCTTACAGTCTTCGACTGCCTCTTCCTCTTAGCTCTCTGATCCCTGAGGGAAGGAGTTTGATGAAGACATCCCTTTTGGGACTGTGTGTTCCAAAGCCTCTCACTCCGATTATTGTCTAGTTGTGAATCTCTGTGTTAGTTCCCATCTACTACAAGAGAAAGCTTCTCTCATGATGGTTGAGTGAGGTATTGATCTATGTATGGGTACGACAGAATGTCATTAAGAGCCATTTTATTGTTATGTTCCTTTAGCACAGTGGTTCTCAACCTTCCTCATGCTGCAACCCCTTAATACTGTTCCTTACTTTGTGGTGAACCCTAACCATAAAATCATTTTTATTGTTACTTCACAACTGTAATTTTGCTTCTGTTATGAGTTGTAATGTAAATATCTGATATGCAGGATATCTGATATGTGACCCTGGTGAAAGGGTTACTTAACCTCAAAAGGAGTTGGGACCCACAGGTTTTCTCCTAGGTCCTGGGCAGGTCTAGTCTCAGGTGTTTGGCCACCTAAGCAGTGTCAGGCATGAGTTCTCCCGTGTAGTGGGCCTTAAATCCAAGCATAGAGCAATCGGTTACTCCCATAACTTTTGTGCCATTCTTGCACCAGCATGTCATGTAAACAGGTCACCATGTAGATCACAGGGTTTGTAGCTGGGTTGGTGTTTGCTTTTTTCCTTTGTAGTGTGTAGAGTATCTTCTAGTACTATGAATACTAGTCTTCACTAGTGGTGAAGGTTGTAGCTAAGCACCAGTTTGACTTCTCTGTGTTCAATACATTCATTTTAAACTAACTTTCCATATGGTATACTTCCTTTTCTTGTTTTTTTTTTTCCCCCACTGTACAAAGTTTAGTATATTGATCTCTTGTAAACCTATAATCAACTCATGGTTTATCTTAATTTCATTTTTGCCTTCACCTTCACTGCTTATATTATTTTATTATTTTTTTCCGAGGCAGGGTTTCTCTGTGGCTTTGGATGCTGTCCTGGAACTAGCTCTTGTAGACCAGGCTGGTCTGGAACTCAGAGATCCGCCTGCCTCTGCCTCCCAAGTGCTGGGATTAAAGGCGTGTGCCACCAACGCCCGGCCTGCTTATATTATTTTGAAGTATATCTTTTAATAGAGTAATAAGAATGTAATGCATTTATCATACTTAGAAATAGTAATATAAAATATAAAAATATTAAATTTCCAGTAGTTTAAGAAGTGCTACTTGCTTTAAAAATATTTTGCTTGATTCAGTATGTAAACAAGGTTGTACAGATAGATGGCTTTTAAAGTAGCCTCCTTGCGTATGACCTGACTTCTGTCTGGTTTAGGATATGTGGTCTAGCCCAAATAACCACTTATTTTCAGTCACCTATGATTTTTTTTCCCCCATACTTTTCCTTATCCTATTTATTTGGCATATCCTATCCTGTTTAAATATAATTACATGCTTAATATTTGACAAACACTATTTGAATATACTTTTTTTACTTAAAAAGTTTACACACACACACACACACACACACACACACACACACACACACACACACACACATCTATGGTGCGTGTGCTTATATGCTGCATGTATGTAGTACAGGTGTACTGGAGACTAGAAGAGGGCATTGGATCATTGGAACTGGAGTTACAGTGGTTGTGAGTTGCCTGATATGGGTGTTTGGAACCCAACTCTCTAGTCCTGTGCAAGAGCAGCAAGTGTTCAACTGCTGAGCCATCTCTCCAGGTCCTTAAATACACTAAACCTGTGATTAACAAATCAAATGTGTATTGATAATTGTTAAATAGTACTATTATTATTCCCTCGTAAATTTAGTCTTTTCTTAAAAAAATTACATTATTTATTTGTTGTGTTTGTGCCATATGGTATGTGTATTTGTGCCACACTGTCATGTGGAGGTCAGGGAACAACTTGTAGAAGTTACCTATTTTTACTAATTATTTCTACCGAAAAACTGCGAACAATATGTTTGTAAAGGGATTCCTGTTTTGCTAAGGTTTTATTTAGCGTGTATGTGTGTTTTGCCTGCATGTATGTATGGGCATCACGAGTGCCTGATGCATGTGGAGGTTAGGAGGAGGGTGTCAGATCCCCTGGAACTGGAATTAAGGATGGTGGTGAGCTATCATGTGGGTGCTGGGAAGTGAACCTGGGTCCTCTGCAAGAGCAATTAAGTACCCTTAATCTCTGAGCCAGCTCTCCAAACCCTCTTTTATTTTTCCAAAATTATTTATTTTTATTTTAAGAATGATTATTTTGGGGACAGAGTTTCAATGTGTAGCTCTGGCACCTAGAAATCTTATGTAGACCAGGCTGGCCTTGAACTCACAGAAATCTTTCTGCTTCTGCCTCTGCCTCTCCCTGGGATTAAAAGTGTGCACCACCATGCCTGGCTTAAGGGATATCTTTTGAAATGATTCTTCATGTTCCATTATGTCAACTTAAATAAGCATGCAAATTTTAGAAAACTTTAATTTTGATAAGCTACTGATGTCCCTTTGTAAATTTCTTCTCAGGTATAATAAAGATTTTCAAAAGTTAATTATTTTTAACATAAGTAACATACTTATAAACAAATATAAAAGGAGGTTTGGTATTTATAAATTAATGTGGGTGGAATGTTAAAAACAAAGTAAAAGTGTTGTTTCTGCAAACAGTAAGAATTTTGTCTAGGGGCTGGAGAGATGGCTTAGCAATTAGGAGCACTGGCTGCTCTACAGAGGACCCAGATTCAATTCTCACATGACAGCTCACAATTGTCTATAATTCCAGTTACAGGGGATCTGACACCCTCACACAGATATACATGCAGGCAAAACACCAATGCACATAAAATAAAAATAAATTGTTAAAAAATTTTGTTTGTGTAAAGTCCATTTAAATTTTTCCTGAATCTTGAAATGTATAATATAGGCAGAACATGAAATGTATGGGTTAACATTAAGATAATTTTTATCTTTACAATATGTGATAAATTTAGAGAAATTCTGAACATTATCTTGTGTTTGCTTCATGTATATTATATATGATGATTGAGTCTCCTATCTAAGCATCTTAATACTTGATTTGGCTTTGATTTAAATCTTGTTTTCTAGATGAAGCATTGGATGATTTAAAATCCCAGAAGAAAAAGATAGTAAGTTAAATTTTATTTAAAGTTAATTTATATAAATAAGTTAAGAACTGGATAATTAGTGTTTATATATTATACCTTAGTGACTCTCCAAGGAATACTTTTGACAGTATTTTAATGTTGAAATTACTATGAATTTTTTTTAGTTAATGATAGTACACTGGAAACAATTGGTTAGGTATGTGGAGTTTTGAGATTCTGAGAACTTACATTAACTGGAAGCTGAGAAATAAGCAGATAATTCATGTTGAAGAACTAAATGAGGCAGAGAGGGTATGAAGGTGAGTACCCAGATTGTTTATTAGAGCCCCAAATGGAGGAAATGTATACTTGTGTTAATTCTTATGTTTCCTTAGTAGCATGAGACAGATGGGGGTAGGGGGTTAGAGGGAGAATATTAATATTAGTTGTAAGAGGCAAATTTAACATGAAAAGACTGAAACAAGAGGGAATACGACCTTTCAGTGTCTTTTAGTTTACCCCAGCAATGGTGAGCACATGGATCCCTGTTGTGAGGCCAGTTAGGTGCTTTGGGTGTTTTGGGAAGAATACGAGAGTAAGAAAAAGGGCCGAGGTGCTCAGAGGTCGGCATGTGGAAGTCTGTGTGAGTGGATCTTGAGGTTTGTCTTACTGATTTCACACATTTTCTTAGTATTAAAGTGTAGAAATGGTGGTGATTGCTGACAGTATGATGTTATATAGAAACTAATAAAATGAAATTTAATCAAGTGTTAAAGTATATATGGTCTGTTTAATGTACCTTTGTCTAGAGTCTAATAAGTTGTATTAGTTTTCTGTTGCTGTGACAACTGAGGTATTCAACTTAATCTGATGACAGTTTACTTTGGTTCCTGGCTTTAAAGGTTTGGGCCCTTGATCACTTGCCTGTGGTAGCACAGTACTTTATGATGGGTGCATATCATATGAAAATGATTTTAAGTAAAAATTAAAAAACTTGCTGGGCATTGGTGGCACATGCCTTTAATCCCAGCACTCGGGAGGCAGAGGCAGGCGGATCTCTGAGTTCAAGGCCAGCCTGGTCTACAGAGCGAGTGCCAGGACAGGCTCTAAAGCTACACAGAAAAACCCTGTCTCGGGAGGGGGGGGACAAAAACAAAAACAAAACTTAAAGGTGAATGGGTTTGTACCTATTAGTGCTTTACAAATTATTTAAGATAAATGAAACATAGATATATAAATGAATACTTAAGGCTGACTGATCTACTACGAATTGTACTTGTTGAAATAGCACTTTGACTCTAGATTATGGTTGTATCTAATCTTTTTGAAATTTTTTTCCTTTTTTATTTAAATTAGAAACAAGCTTCATTTACATGTCAATCCCAGTTCCCTCACCCTCCTCTCCTCCCCTGCTCCCACCAACCCCCATCCCATCCTCTTTCTGGTCCCTAGGGAGGGTGAGGCCTTCCATGGGAGATCTTAAAAGTCTGTCATATCATTTGGAGCAGGGCCTAGACCCTTCCCTGTGTGTCTAGGCTGAGAGAGCATCCCTCTATGTAGAATGGATTCCCAAAGTCCATTCCTGTACTAGGGATAAATACTGATCTACTGCCAGAGGCCCCATTAATTAACCAGGCCTCCAAACTGACATCCTCATTCAGGGGGTCTGGAACAGTCCTATGCTGTTTTCCAACTATCAGTCTGGGGTTTATGAGCAACCCCTTGTTCAGGTCAGCTGTTTCTGTAGGTTTCTCTAGCCTGGTCTTGACCCTTTTGCTCAACATTTTTATCTTTTAAAACTTTCACTGCATATATTCATTTATTATCTTACATAAGGGCAATCATACAAGCATGTATTGGATATTGAACAAATTCTCCTCTCATATCTCCCTGCTCTCCCCAATTCCATTAGTCCCCTTTGTTCCCTTAGACAGTTTCACTTTTTCTTCATGTTGTGTGTGTATACATGGTTTTGTGTGTATATAAAATCTAAATACCACATACAGGAGAAAACATATGATACCTGTTTTTCTGAGACTAGTTTAATTTTCTTAATATACCAATCTTTGTAAACCTAGAAGTAGGTTTCATCTGTAGTTATACTGACCAAATTAGTAGTTTCTTGCCAAATTGACCATTTATATTTTCATTTTTATGCTGAAGTAAAACTGTAAATTTAATTTGTAGTTCATAAAGCAACATTTTAAGTGTTCTCACTTACCATATTCATCTTAGTGACTTCCATTGTGCCAATATAGAGCATTTCTGTCATCACCAAGAGTTCTATTGTGTAACAGGTCTAAAAGTTATTATTTATTCCATGATGACATTGATTTGGGGATGTATTCCATGATACTCTTTCTCTACCTCCATTCCTAATTTTTCCTCAGTACAAAATGAATTTTACATCATAAAATTGAACTTGCTTGAGAATTTATTATAATTTTGAAATAATTAGTAAAATATTTTAGTTTTACTAAATTGAGAATTATAAATCATCTAAGGACTTAGCTTGCTAAATGTTGAATATTTAATGGGGAATCTATTGGTGTATTTCTTTTAAAACTATACTTTAAGTAAATGTGGTCTGTTTTGCTTTTTAAAATAAGTGTCCCTGGAATCAACATGACATATAATGAATATAAGTGGTCACTGGTCACTGAGAAGGAAAAGGCCCTGTTTCATATTTTCCAAAAGCATTTTATGTTGAACATTAGTTATTTGTCATAACCGACTGTCTTATACTACATTTCAACTTTTTCTGCTGTAATATTTTACTAGTGATTACTTTTAAAATTGAACCCCTGTATTAGGTTATAAAGTGACTTGAGAGCATTGTAAATAAAGTGCTATAGCAATGAAGTTTTTTAATTACAGTCCCTAGTGTGAGCATAAATCTCAGTAAAAATTTTGCTTAAATTCTGTGTTTGGTTTTTTTCTTCTAAAGCTGTTTGAATCTAAGTAAGAAAAGAGGAGGGGTGGGGGAGGACATTAGCTTTTTGAGTCACTTGAGCAAATTCCATGGCTGTTCTCCCAGTTAGTGAGTTTTCACTGCATTTGCAGCAAGCTAATTGCTTCTGCTAATAAATAATCTAAAATCGATGTTGACAGCAGTTAATTGGCACAGAGATTTTATTTTGTAAAGCTCTTGGCTAACGACCTTCTTAAATTAATAGCATTAAGTGCTATGAGGAAATAAATCTGAGGAATTGCCTGTCATTTGCTTGTCATGTCTAATAACTTCCAATAATGATGGCTGATAGATTTTTGCACATTCCATTATTGAAGTTGGTGCATGTAATTATTCTCCTCATTATATGTAAACAATTAGCGATATTTGGTATTTCCTTGCAGTAAAGCTGCTAAAATACAAGTAATGTATTAGAGGGTAGAAACTATTTTAAAAGCTTGGATTTTAATTATTTGATTGTAGGTAATCTTTCTATTTAGTTTCATTTGCTGAATATAAGTACAAATAGGAGAGGGATGACTTTATTTTCCTTAATTCCAAGATTGATAGTTTAATACTTTTTGAATAAGATGTATAAAAATAAGTAGTATATGTTTCAAAATATAACAATTTATGGAAATTTCTATTTGTAGCTTGAAGAAGTTATGGAAAAAGAAACTTACAAGACAGCTAAGTTAATTCTTGAAAGGTTTGATCCAGACTCAAAGAAAGCAAAGGTAAAACTGTGACACTACTGTTTTTTCATTACAACTTATACATTGTATTAGGGACTGTATAATTTAAACTTTATTGTAATTGACAGGAGTTTGAACCACCATCTGCTGGAGCAGCTGTAACTGCAAAATCAGGACAAGGTAAATAACTTTGTAGAAACTGCTGCTGCTGTTGGAAAGATCCATATTTATACAAGTGAGTTCACAAGTGTGTGTTGGTGGCGTGTAAAAAAGTTCAATGCTTTTATGTTAATTTGTACTTGGTAATCTGACACATGACATAGGGTAAATAACAATAATTTTATTTTGTTTTTATTTTATGGGAATATGTTGATAAGTTTGAATATTGAATATTTATTGAGATTAAAATATATAATTGGGTTGAAGCTTGAAATTTAATTAATTTTGCCTATATGTTAAGAGCTTTTTTCCCTTGCAAATAATAATCTTTTGAATATCTGTTGTTAATATCTTTTCATTTTTATGATTTCCTTCTGGAGAATGAAGATTTTTGTTAGGGTTAAAGTTTGTTTTAAAATAACACATTTACTTAATAAAAAAGTAAAATAATTTAAAAAGTTGAATATATATGTATGATTTTTTGCATAGTTTATATAGAAATATATAGAAAGAAAAATTTTTTATAACAACAAATTTTTGGAGTTGTGTTACCTACCATACCATCATCACCATTACATTATTTTATAAAATCTCAATTAATTATATTTTTATTGTGAATTATTTAAATTTAGTTTATTATTGTGTGTATGATGTGTGTGTGGGGTGGGATGCGTATGTCAGGGATTACATGTAGAGGTCAGAGGGTAACTGTGGAGTTGACTTGGTCCTTCCACTTTTATGTGGGTTACAGGGATTCAACTCAGGTTTTCAGGCTTATGGGGTAAGTGCCTTTACCTATTGAGCCACTTCACCAGCCCCCAAAAGTTATTTTAAATGATTATATAAAATATCTTCTGAAGTGGAATGTGAAGATATTTTGAGTTTGCATTAGTTTTTAATTTTTGTATTTTTCACTAGAATCTGATAAATTTTTAGGATTTGTGATGTTGAAGAATATAGAATATAGAAAACTGTAACTCTCATCCTTGCAGGATTGAAGCTTGTTTTAAAGTTAAAATACCATTTATAACTTTGAGAAGAGAATCCTATAAATCTTATAAATATTTACAAGGACCGTGAAGATTAAATGAGTCACTTTTTTAGGTTTTCTAATTGGTATTGCCTTGTGGGAAGAATTCACTCTATCTTTATAACTAAGATTTTGGGTTAGAGAAATAGTAACTTGTTCTTTTCTTTGTTTCTTTTTTACTGCTTTTTTGGTAAAAATAAAAGTTCACATATGATTGAAATAAATTACAAATATATGTTTCTAGTGAAATTCTCATATAATCAGTGTTAAGTTTTTCTATAGTTTAAACATTTGTTTAGCAATCATAGAAAATGTTTTGTTATATGTAAAACATTTTTGTGTATATACATTTAAGAGGTACTACTTAAGATATACTAAATTCATAGAAGCAGAGAGTAAAATTGTTTCCAGATACAGAGTGGTGATGAGAGCAATAGGGAAATATTGGTTAAAGAATAGAGAGTTTTAGTTATATATGAGTATAACACCTAGACAGCTAAGTACAATATACTTACTAGTTGGTAATGCAGTGTTGGTTACTTGAAATTTGCAAAGAATGGATTTTATGTGTTCTCTCCACATATAGGAAAACTGGTATGATGGATATGGCTAATAGCTTGACTGTAGGAATCATTTAACAATGTGTAAGAAATTCTTTGGATAAGTAATAACACTAGTAAATGTTTTTCAGTGTGGTATTTTACAGAAAGCTGTGGCTGTTACTTTCCTAGGTATTTTAGTATTTAGTATTTGGTAACTTATTTTAAGAATTTAAACGTTTCTTAGAAACTTTTGAGACCCAAATAGTTTTTTCTTCTGACACCATATCATAATTCTAGAAAAGCTGCTACTAATTTCATTTGCTTTGGATACTTGTACTGCTTTTGGATAGTCTTAGAGAGAATTAATATTTAGCTATATTGTAATCAGTCATTTAGAAAATGCATTTAAGGAGCAGGCAAGGTGACTCAGTGGGTACAGGCATTTGCTTGCCAAGAGTGATGGCCTGAGTTCTACCCCCAGGATACACATGTTGGAAAGAGAGAACTGACTCCTGCAAATGTCCTCTGACCTCCACATGTGCAGCATGGCATACAGGAGCACATTCCTATCCCTGAAGTTAATAAAGGCATTTACTTAAAGTCTATGAATACTTACAGGCAGATACCTTGGAGAATAAAGAGATGAGGGTAACATTTTTTAACTTTAAAAAATTTATAACTAAAAAAATTTATAACTGTGTGTATGTGTATGTGTGTGTCCTCTTGTATGCACAGCTATTTGTTCATGGGTATGCAAATGCATGTGGATGGGAGGGGGGGGGGGGGGGG